CCGACCAGCCGAAACGAATGGCTCTTTGGTAGAACTCGACCGTCCATCGAAACTGTATGAGCGCTAGGACGCTTTTTGTTCGTCAAAGTACAGTACTGTGTTTTGGAAGCATTGAACTGTACAAGATTGTTGCGTCCCCAAGCAGTGATAGCCTCCAGGTCTCTTGTCAGAGAAGAAGTCGTGGCTAGTCTTCTTTTTTCCAGCTCAGCGGCAGAGATCGGCTTGTCACTCTGAATTCCTGCATGTAGAGTGCTGTCATCAGCGAAGCTGTGGATTGGGTTGATCGTGCAGGAAAGGAGGTCGTTGATATGTAAGAGAAACAGTGTTGGAGCCAAAACCGATCCCTGGGGAACACCCGCGTTGACGTTGTGGGATGAAGAGGAGAATCCGTCAATTACGACGGATATCTTGCGGCCAGAGATAAAGTCAGCCACCCATCTGCAAAGCTTTTCTGGGAGGCCGTAGGATGGAAGTTTGCTCAAGAGGGCAGCGTGCCACAGCTGATCGAACGCTTTCGTGATGTCAAGAGCAACGACATGAGCCTCACCATGAGACTGGATGAGTTTACTCCACAGTTGCGTGACGTAAGCTAGGAGGTCCCCTGTGGATCGTTGGTGCCGGAAACCGTACTGCCTGTCGCTAATCAAGCTGTGACGTTCGAGGTAGTCCAGAAGCTCGCGATTTATGCACCTCTCCATCACTTTACTTATAACAGAAAGCAGAGCTATAGGCCTGTAGTTGTAAGGGTCGGTTTTAGATCCTTTTTATGGGATGGGCTGTACATGCGCAAATTTCCAGTTTTCTGGGAAGGTGCCGGATTCATAAGATATCTGGAAGAGACGCGAAAGAACTGGAGCAAGCTCAGCTGCACATCTCTTCAGTACAATGGCAGGAATCAAGTCCGGACCAGAAGCTTTGTTGATGTCGAGCGACAAGAGCACTCGTCTTACGGTCTTATGCCTGAATGTTACCTCCCGCATAGTGTGGGGAACCCTTTGAATTGACGGCACTTGGACGTTGGTGGGGACGTCCATGGTGGAGTTGGCAGCAAAGATCTTTGCTAGCACTTCCGCCTTGGCCTTTGAGTCGAATACAATAGTTCCATCCTGACACGTAAGTGGTGGAAGGCTACTGTGTGAGAAGTTCTTTTCAATCTGCTTGGCCAGCGTCCAGAAAGACCGACTGCCATTGCGCTGCGACATTACCCTGTGCCTAACTTTTATATCATGCTGGGTTTTGGCATTGCGAACCGCTTCGTTATATTTGTTTCTGGACTCGACGTCGGCTTGTCTGTTCTCTACAGTGGGGTTTTGTAAGTAGGTTCTGTGGGCCTTGATCTTCTGCTGGCGAGCACTGTCACACGATTTGTTGAACCAGCCGTTGGACCCTGGTTTAGGAACTTTCACTGTGTGAGGGATGTATTCCTCCATTCCGACGTGGATAATTTCGGTTATTGAAGAACAGACAGTCGACGCATCCGCGTCAGTGAAACAGACATCTCTCCAAGGAAAGCTAGAGAAGAAGTCTCTGAGCCCCTCCCAGTCGGCATGTCCGTAATGCCAAGTTTTGCGGCCTGTGCGAGTTTCTGCGGCCACAGCGGCTTCTGACCGAAACCTAACCTCCACAACACCGTGATCTGAGTTACCCAGGGGGGACAGGACGGCAGTGCTGTAAGGGGCAGGATGCGTTGTCAGAAAGAGATCCAGCAGGCTACTGGCGTGTGAGGAGACGCGGGGGAAAAAAGTAGGGCTCGTCACCAGCTGGGTCAGCCCTAGAGTAAGAGCGAACGCTTCGACTGCACGACCTGCTGCATCGGTCTTATTTGAGCCCAACCAAAGCTCATTATGGGCATTGAAATCACCGAGAAGAACTACCTCTGAAGCGGGGTGATTGATGTTCAGGAAGTCGATCTGGACGGCGAGGTATTCGAGTAGGTCATCCCAATTATGGTTCGAGGGAGAGCGATAAAGGCAGCAAATAAATTTGGGTGATGTTTTGGAGTTGAGGCGAAGCCACAGAATGTCCTTCCGGTCTGATTCCAAAGAAAGATCCCTGGAGCAGGAAAGACTGCTGCGGACAAAAGCCACAACTCCCCCGTTCTTTCTCAGATTGGAGTGCACCTCGTAGTTTGGGAAGTTGAGATGGTTAATCGGTGCAGCCTCTGAGATTTTTGTCTCCGCCAAGAAAAGCACGGCGGGACGATTGGATTGCAGGTAGTGATGAACAGCATCAATGTTGCTGTTGATCCCGCAGATGTTCGAAAAACAAATTTTATCTTCGATGTTGTTCCCTCGAGCCCACCCTCCACCCGGACATTCCGAGAGTGGAGTGAGTTTACGTCCGGAGTTTTTAGTGCTCGAGGGATCCATCATCATTAATTTCTTTGTTTTGGTAGATAACCGACTGCATAGCTTAGGTGTGGAAACATGCGGACATTTATAAGACACCCTTGGAAAAGCTAGCGGGTGGTACTGCCTCGGTCGACTGGTCCTTGTCTACCACCTTCTTTTTACGTATTAGTGATGTTAAATAGACCTAAAGTGGCCCGTTGGCGGACTTGTACCGCCACCCGGCAATCGGTACTGAGGTATTCCTTAACGCGTGCGCAATCACTTGGACGGGAAGAAGTTGTATACTGGATACAACGACTTCCGGAACAAGCATTTGCCACGGCCCTCGCTCAGTAGGGGGGAGGACCTTTAATAATGTGTGGATGCACCCTGATGTGCTACGCATTCTCCAACGCGCCTAGGCATGATTGTGATCAGGTGGTCAATGTCCTCCTGTGGTATCTCATTCCAGGCAACCACCAACTCCTCTCGAAGTGCTTCTAGAGTCTGAGGAGGACGTTGCAAATTGAGCAATCTCCTACCCATCATATCCCACACGTGCTCAATTGGGGATAAGTCGGGAGATCTTGGTGGCCATGGTAACAATGTGACATCATTATGTTGAAAGAAGTCTATTGTGTCTCTTGCAACATGTGGTCGGGCATTATCTTGTTGGAAAGTTGGATCTGCCAGGGTGTCAAGATAAGACAATACTGTTCCATTCCTGATCCCAGAGTGACCGTTGTCTGCACCACTCAAGGCGATTACGTCGGTGTTCTCGAGTTGAAGGGAGGACCCAGTGTGGCGGGTATGAAAACAAGCCAAAACTTCTCATTCGTCGGTAAACACTTCGCATGCCAATAGGTCTTCCGTGTTCTGCAAACCATTCATTTGCAATGGACCTGGTAGTGGAGAAACGGTCCCTTAAAGCCAATAATCTTAGGCGGCGATCTTCACGGTCTGTTGTTCTACGGCGGCGTCCAGTGCCCCTTGCTCTTTGCGTACGGCCTTCTCGAAGCCATGCCTGACAACACCTAACCACAGTGTCTACACTTCTTTGCACTCTAACTGCAATTGCCCGAAAAGAAAGTCCAGCTTCCCGAAGTCCCACTATACGGCCCTTATAAAACTCACTAAGTTGACGAAATCGTACAGGTCTCCGTACTCTAGGCATCGTAACCGATCGTAAAGGATGTTAAGAACCAAAATCTGCCAACGCTGATTCTTTACTGCGGCTGAAATATTCATTTTTAGAGCGTTAGTCAATTGAAAAAAAGCAGTATAAAAACCGGAATGTCCAACTGATAAGGCTGAAATTTTTTTCACTCGTTATTTACAGTAAGATAAATACATTCACCAACTTTTATTAAAATAAAACCATTTAAACTGGGTGTTCGGATTTATATGTCACTTAGTATAGATGACACGATAGACGGAATGGAACTGGTCATGCTATGTAGACTACCAGGATGATTCCAGATATTAGAAAACGAATTGGCAAGGCAGAGGTACAAATAGATTCTATACCGTACAGTTCCTTACAGAACATGGTTGCTGGAAAGAGAGATAACGCAAGCTGCGTATACTGAAAAGAGCAGTATGATGCTCCCTATCATCGAGAATGTGAAGAATGTGGTAGTCTTCAAGATCTGTGAATCAATTGACGAGAATGTTATTTTATGTTTTTTATTTAAGTATAGTTCAATACTGTCACCCTCAAATAACTTCTTCCCGAAACCACTCAACGCAGGAGATGGTTTCCCCACTCATCGTAGCACTGTCGGTGACATCCGCTTGAGTGTTTTCGACTGTCCCAAAATGAGTTTCCTTGTGGTAACTTTCCAACTTTGGGACAAGTAAAAAAGTCACAAGGACTCAAGTCGCGCTAATAAGGAGACTGAGGAGACACAGGAATGTTTTTGCTGGTCAAAAACACGTTTATTGACATTGTTCTGTGAGGAGCAAGGAGCATCTTTCGTGATCGACATCTATTTGTTCTTGATCTGAAGGACGGTCATGTGAGTCAAATTGACTTTGTCTCTGATCATTCTGCCTTTCAACCGACGACCTGAATGCACAAGATCCCGGATTCTGTCGATATTTTCATGGGTTCCTATAGATGAAGGCCTTTCGCTTCGTGGTTTATCTTCAATCGCCTCTCTCCCTTCTGAAAATGCCTTAAACTACCGAGCAATGGGCTCTTGACAAAACAATCCAATCAAAGAATTGTAAGGCGGAACGAACAAGGTAGAAGGTGAATAGGAATATACAAAAGAACTAACAATCTACTAGCTGGGTTATAGATAAATATACACTGAACATCAAACGGTGTACAGACACATAAGTTTGAAAGAGAAGATAGAACCCGTGTAGATAGCAAGGATCATCACCGCGTTGACTAGCAACGCTGCCAGCTTCTATCCGCTGCTAACATGTGTTGATACACACTTCTTGTGCTTCTCTCTCGTTCAAATTGAACCCAAGCCGTCACACAAATTTGGTTTTCCCTGTATACATATGTATGAACGTATATGTATGTGAGTGAATATTATAGTGATTAATGTATTTGGTCTGAATACTCAGTGTAACGCTACCAATCATGGTGAAATGCTGCTAGCTTATTAAGTATGCCGCATTTGTTGAGAATTTTACACTTCATGCAGGAAAAGTCGAGAAGGCAGTACTCTCGTACTGTCGAGTTTTTATGCCTGAGAGAAGCTTTAAACTAGTTTTCTTGTCTAAAAAGCAGCGTCGTTGCGTAGGTAGATTACTACAATTTTGGAGTTGATAGCAACGTTTGCCGTGACCTGAGCTGCAATTTTTCGGTAGTAAATGTTCGGGTTCCTTACTTCCTCAATTAGAGAGTCAATGAGTTGGCTGAACCTTTGCAGCTTCCTGAATGTGCGCTTCTTTGCACTCTTCTCGAATACGTTTCTCAAATCAGAGATGATTTGCCTCTAGAAAAAGAAAATCGTCAGCTATTGCAAATCTGAAGACTTTCAATCATTTTTCGGAAAGGCAAGTTAATGAAGGTCAAAATGCAAGGTAGTACATAGAGAGCATATTATAGTTGTGAAGAGAATATACTTACAAGTGTAGAATGACAAATTCTTTGCTTTGACAAATCTAATTCGGTATAGTATTCACAAGTATGGGAGCTAGTAATGTCAAGGTATTTTCCAGTAGCAGTAATTAAGTAATCTATAGCTTCTAACAACTTCTCTTCGATATCTTCAGAATGCCTTTTCACGTCGGCTGCTTCAAATAATTTCTCAATTTCTCCTAAACTAGTTTTCTGGAAAATAACTCATTCTCATCAGGCGAACCATCTAGTTTTCACGTATAATCTTTTGAACTATGCCTTTACACACCTAAATATCACCCCTTTGGCCATCAGATAAATAGAAGTGCTTATGCGTTTGTTATTGTAAAGTAAATATGTTCTCTACGCATCAAAATTTTGGTGCTCAAATTACTCACACAGACAAATTCTAAGACTAAACAAGCTCGCAAAAACCGCATATAGATATCTTGTTCCTATCTTAAAATTTAAGAAAGCCTTAAATTTATATTTCTTTGAACTAATGAGCCATTATGCTTTTGGATGTTATATGTCATGTAGACTATGAACAATCGTCTCCCATTTCTGTCGATCTGACTGCCTGCCTGTCTGTCCGATAATACTTTACCCGCCTATAACTTGGAAGGTATTGCGCGAATGTGAATTAAATTTTTCACATAGAATTACTACAACGCCAAGGATGAAAAATCTTCATATAATTAGAAAATAGGTCCAGTGGCGGAGGAAAACGAAAAACAAAAAAAAAATAAAAATCGCTGAAACTTCGTTTTTGTCGTTCCAGATGATCTTGATCATCTTTGTTTCGGGGAAATGAATTGGGAAATGATAGTTGCAGTGATGTAAGGGGGGGTGAATCGCCATTTTTTGGTGGCAATATATTTACTACTGCTAACCCCAGCAATTCTACGCTCCTATTAGACATATTTTACATACCTAATACCCTTATATTGGACTTACGGCTTAGAAAGGTAGAAATACTTTGTATATGATGTGCACTAGCAGCTGCACGCTCTCGGGCGAACATAGACGCAACGAATTCTACCTGAGAAGAGGTTAAATATTCTCCGGAGATGTAATAATTGCGACTATTATTGAAATAATCAGATAGGGTTTTTTATATTTGAAGCAACACGAAGTTCTAAGGCCCAAACATCTACGGATAAAAACAAAACATCTCTAGTCAAGAGAAAAATTCTCTTGGGACGAGAATCGAACCAGAGCAGCGCCCGGGAACTGATTATTAGTCCCATAACGTCTACCACTACGCTACCACTGCTGCCTCGACAACATTAGGGCTGTAGTTACGAGTAGACGTTCACCAGTCTTCTAAGAATTTGAAAATATGAATGAAGAATCTCACCTATTTTTAGTACATTTTCCTCAAGCAACTAATATAATAAATAAATTCACAATACTTTTTCTCGAACCATATTCATTATGTTGCACTACCATCCGTAAGGATTTTCGACGAAGGGTAGAAATGGAAGGTTAAACTGCATAAGCGATTCACGTATCCGTATGTAGCCAATCATGTCGCCTAGGACTGCCCTAGGAAATCTCGTGCATGCAGAACATGGCATAGAACATCTGCTTCGTGATTTACAGTCATGATGACAAGAACAGAGATAGATTCCATATCCGCACAACCTGGAATTAAATTTTTACATGGTGTGCATATGAGAAAAATGTCATATGCGCAGAGCTTGGAATCTACTTCCTTCACGAGATAGTCTTGCTTTCGTCGTCGATACTTTTGGCTTCGCTCCCACTCTATTAGTTTACCTTCCTTCTTTAGCCTTAGGCCGTTTCCTGATTTGTCGGTGCGGTATCGGTGCTGCTGCGGCGGTATGCTCAGGATACGCGGTACCGAAAACTTACCGAGCGCCTATATTTCAATGAATCCTTTCTAATTAGCGCGGATTGTGCGGAGGCGGGGAGGGATCCGTTCGGTTTACCGCATCTCGGTAATTGAAAAGCATCCTGTGTTGTTTATTTATTGTATTCAAAAGCTGCCGATATGTTCTTTTGACATTCTATACATAGATAAAAATTTGATAAGTTCTTTTACAGCAACAACTAGTCGACAGTTAATATTATTTTCGATGTAAGGATGACGCCAATAAGATTTTTTTTACGTACACGAAGATACAAATAACACGCCAAAATATCATCATCACTAGAACTCGAAGGGGACATCTCTCCACAAAACCAGCCATGCTGCAGAATTTCATACCGAGAATATACCGGGTAATGCGTAGATAGGAGCAATGCGGTATCGATTCGGTAACAAAGCATATCGCCGCCGCGGCGATACCGCACCGACAAATCAGAAAACGCCACATTTAAAGGACATGATCAAGAAACCCGTCCCCGACCTCCGATAGTACTTAGATGAGGGCGCATTGATAGATAATTATTGTAAAATGTAATGCGGACTGAGAAGACTTAAATCGAACTGTTGTTAAGATTTATTCCAGGCTGGTTAATGGTGAATATGGATTTGACCGTGTCCGTGACCTTCAATGTTATGGTAAAGGACCATTCAAGTTTTTTTAGGTGATACATACTAATTAGTAGTGACGTGGCTCATTGTGACTGACTGAGCGGTAGTGAGTTTTGATTTAACTGGTCAGACAGACCCTTCAGACCCCAAAATCGCACTTCTCTACATGTCTATGTACTATACGCAGACAGAATACCGGAAGTCCACTCGTATTGATGATACTTCCAGATACGTTCCCATATCCCCCATTCCCAGTAACTCCTTCCATGCTCTTCAAACCACTGATTAGCGATGGCTTGAGTACTACTGAATCTGGGACGTCCAGATCCCACGCTCGCTGTCCTCGGCTTTCCCTAGTCCACGCTCATTCACACTGCAGTATACTGTGTAAGGATCTGTTAGTCCTTCTAGATACTTATCGATAGACGGGCTTCACGCAACCCGACAATTCGACCCCTCTCAAAGTCAGTTAGCTGGGACACCCAGCAAATTCTACGCCCTCTAGGCATTTTGAGCAATCACTTGTTGTTCATGGCAAGATAAATCGATATGTAAAGAATTCTTGAATTCTAATGAACATACGTAGGTGTTTACCTCTTTTTCTCACTAAGTATATTTATTGAAATGGGCAGCAGTCTCTAAAACATAAAAAAGTGTGGGTTATTCTCATTGTTTAGTTTTTTGTTCATAGCTCCGCTGCCACTAAGCCTATTCTCAAAACCGCTTTTTCGTTCTTTTAGGAAAAAAAGTCATCAGAATCCAAGCGGTACTACCTAAGTTATAGAGGAGACAAGGATTGTATACGAGTACCATATGTAGATGTGACATATATGCCAATAATTAGGAGACTAACGGTGCCCGACAAACAGACAGACAAACCGACGGGAATTAGTGACTATGGTTTGTCGTGAGGTAACCTGCGAAACTTCACGCTGCCAATAGGACCTCCGCAATAGCGTGGTAAGTAGAAACACAATCGTCTGCTGTTATCCTTTGCTATAAATATGACGTTTATAATTTTTTTGTTTGTGATGCCTTGTATACTTACCAGCTGAGTTGCAATCCTAGACAGCATATTGCGCTCGAAAATAGATTTATTAATGGCTGCCTTAGTGTATATCCATAAACACGGCTTATATTCATCAAATGATAACGTGGCAAATCTCTTGTTTATTCTTGGCAACTGAGACTCTGTTGCATTAACAATGTAGTTCTTGAACTTCTGCTTACAGGACTCGCCAAAGGTCATCCAGATTGATACTGGCTTATCACTGTATGGCTTGCTTATAGATGTCACGTCAAATATTAGACTGACTATACGTATGTGCTCAGAATTGAATTGTTTTTGCTGAAAAAGAACACTCTTGAAGATGATCCACAAACGCACCACCTACAAAGCCGTATCTTCATTTTATTTAAAATTCTAGCCAACCTATCAGAGTTCTGTGAGCAATTACACTTAGCGAAAAGGTAGGTAGCAAATATTAGATAACCCCCGGTTATGTATAAATGAAGCTCTCCTCGTATAATGGAAAGCAGTGCGATAGCAATGTGTCGGGAGATATTTCCGCTAAGGGCTACCCAGTACCGAACTTGTTCCGTAAGAATGTCTTCTGTTGGAGGTATGTTAATATATCCACATCAAGAAATTGCGGTACATCCCACCCTCCTACAGTCCTCCACCCCCTACAACGATCCGCCCGCCATTTTTTACCCCTCATTTTTTTTAAATAATCAGGACCCACTGAAATCTCATAAACGAACTATGTGAGAATCTCATTTTTTTCGTTTTTCGCAGTTTTCTCCGCCCCCACTGGAACAATTTTAAAAATCTACAACACATTCTCATGCTTGGTGTAGTAGTAACGTTGTGTGAACATTTCATCAGAATTTCTTTATCTTCTAAGGTTATAGATGGGCCAAGAATTACCAGGGGGACCGGAAGAAAGACAGACCGATGGAAACGAGTGACATGGTTTTGCGTGCTATGCATGTCATCTAACATCCAAAAAATGTAATATCTCATTTTCAAAATCTCTCACAATTACCATACTTTCTTGTCCAGTGGCGTAGAAAGTAATAAGCAGTGGTTCGACCTGGTAATGCTGGAATGCGCAACACACTGACAGCGTTGTCGGCTTCTGTGGTAGCGATGGCGCTGATGTCACCGTTCGCAGTTATTCAAGTTATAGCCACCCGACGGCGTTGCATAGATCACGTCTCAAATGGCGATCCTCAAAGGGCTTCCATTTCCGTCAATATTCTAATACTTATTTAACCTATCACTGGCTAAATTGAGAACAGCGTTACTACACTACTTAATTTGTATAGTACTTACTATTTTCCTGCTGGGGGAAGGTTTACCTATGGGCTTACTTGAAAAAATAGGGGTTAACGGCGGCGGGACTCACTAATGATGTGCACGCACCACACACTAGAAAACGAATGAATAGGCGGAGGGGAAGTGGGGAGGTGGCATGCTGAACGTTTGACTCTTTGAAATGTGTGACGTACAGTACACCAGAGGCGTACTACCTTGTAAATATCTTTGGAGTGGACACAGAAATATAACTTGTGTGATTTAACACGGCATAAATAACATCTGAATAGGATTCAGCGCTGCAAAATTGTCCTTAAACGAGATTTACCTATATATAGGTATATATACAGGGTGACTTCGAAGTTGAGTCATTTATTTTAACAGTGAGTAGATCTGATCAAAAGAAATGTTTTTTTCCTTTACCATTTTTCTGGTAAAATTAAAGTAACAAAGTTATAGCCCTTTGGAAGTTTGAGTACCGCCCTGTCTCAATAATAATATCATGTGCTCGTGTTTGGCAACAACGGATATAATCCGCCTTATCGGTTCATCGCATCGGAAACAAAAAAGCGAAAGAATTTGGAACGATGTTTTTACAATTATTTTATTCAGTTGTATACAGTCAGTGTCAGTCGGTAACGCGTGAGTGAATAGTGGTGTCTGTTGCGTGGCTCAAACGAAATAAAAAATGGCACATGTTTATGCGGATCGGTTTCCCAATCGAGCGCAACCAACCCCTCGTGCCTTTGTTAATGTAGTACAACGGGCTCGTGAATCAGGTGACTTAAGACCTCACAGGGGACCTCACGATCAAATACGGGTCCGCACTGAAATACTTGTCGGGAGGATACTTTGTAAAACAAGGTAAAAAATTTTTTTAATTTTTTTTTTATTTTTACACACATATTTTGGTTTATCTTCCTTCTACAATCATTATCTGAAAATTAATGACTCAACTTCAAAGTCACCCTGTATATACAGGGTGTCCGCATAGTTGGGGTTTTCCTTTACACGACGTGTAGATCTTGAAAACATAAGCAATTTTTCTTAGTACCATATACACCAATGTCTTAAGGGAACCGAGATAAAGGGCTCTGCAACATCAAAAATATCTGAATACCGTCCTGTAGCCGCGACATCCCCGAGTGGTACTAGGACACTAGCTCAACCCGACGACAGAACTGGGTCGGGGTCAGTGTGTCAGGTCAGTATGCAACCTTCAACCGACGGTTACGGTCACGCGTGTAGAGGTAATCGCGTAGACGAGAATCCCTTAACAAGCACTAGAGACGTGGCTAGAGAAGTGCCAGTATCAAAAACTAAAGTGTGGCAAACGCTGCGTGAAGAGGGGCTGTATCTGTTTCACGTCCAACGTGTACAAGCCCTTCAACCTGACGATTTTCCAGCAAGAGTGCGGTTTTGTGAGTGGTTGTTGCATCAACATGACAATCATCCGGACTTTTTGAAGTGCATATTGGTGACAGACAAATCTACGTTCACGCGTAATGGGGTGAATAACTTTCGCAACACTCATGTTTGGTCAGTAGAAAATCAGCACGCTGTCCGTCGGGCACATTTTCAACAAACATTTTCGGTGAATGTTTGGGCTGGCATGGTGAACGGTATGCTCATTGGACCATTTATTCTCCCAAATCGATTGGACGGGATGCAATACCTAGATTTTTTAAGCAACATTTTGCCTTCCTTGTTTGCCTGCGTCTGCTCAGTAGCGCATCAGCTGATTTCATTTTCTGTTGGAGCGGTATGATTTCGGGCAGAGACGTACTTAGCCCTTCTCGTCAACTGGAGAGTGAGTACTTTTTCCTTTATTTTTTTTTTACTTGGTCGCCCTCGTTTCACTACACATTACTTTTGTTATTTCAAGGATAGTTGTTTCTGAAAAGGAAAACCCCAACTTTGCGCGGACACCCTGTATAGTATTTACAAGACCGTAACAAGAAAAATGAAAGAAAAAGGTTTTAAAAAATTTTCGCGCTTCGAAGAACACTTTCGGTGGATTTATGGTGCATTTTTTTGTTGCATAGCCTTAAGTATATTGGTGAAAAATACTCATATAATCTAATAGAAATGGCTTTTTTGCTAAATTTATGTAGACAGGCAGCCATCAAATTTAATGCTTGAATCTAACCATGTCTTCTTGTATGACTGATCATCCGTTCCTTCTCACTTCCACTCCTTTTATCCAAATATATAAGCTCATCACTGTCTCCGCCATCAAGTTCCAAATCAATCTTTACAGTTTCACAGTTCTCGCATAACAATTCACGGCAACATATGCAATAACTTTTTTCCCTTTATCTTCCCACGTCACTGGGCGAGGAACTATTTTCATTGCGAACATTTTCGAAAATCCATCTTTTGGATATTATGTGATATGTACATCACGAAAAACCATGTCACTAATATCCGTCGGTCTATCTGTCTTCCTGACCGCTAATCCTTGGCCCGTCTATAACTTGAGAAGTAACTGTCGGATTCTGATGAAGTTTTCACACAAGATTGCTACTATGTCAAGTACGAAATAAATAGGTCAAGTGGCGATGGGAGAAATAGCCAAAAACGGAAAAAATAAAAATTGCTCAAAGCTCATGTTAAGCGTTTCAAATGGTACTGATCATTTTCAAAAAAATTTGAATGGGCTGAAATTCCGAGGTTGGAGGCTGTAGGAGGTAGCGGAGGGTATATATACGCTCTCAACCCCGGTACATTTGCCATTAAAACTTGAAATGATAGAGAAATGGTTTTGATCCGCTAACTCCTGATATCCAAGCTCACCGAACCACACCGTCCGATCCATCTGTCCGCATTGTACGAAATGAACTTTAACTTGCTGCAGCGAATCCGGGCTAGGCGCTGACGTGCAGATATGGAAAGGGAGAACGTTGCCATATCGACAGGTAACTACCAGTAGGGCAGGGAAAGAAGACTAATTGTGAGGGGCTTGTTTTATTAACTTGACCCATTTAATTTCTCTGTTGTACATGTTCGTAGCTGACTTCTTTTTCAGAGGATTTAAGTTGCGCTAAACTTACTAGATACCATTCTTTTGGTAGCTGCAAACTTTCTCCTTGAACCCTGAAGTTCCAATAAATTTAGTTTTACTTGTATTGATTTAATTAATGCCTTGATGTCTAATATATTTTACAGACTCGTGGCTTCTCTTTAGTAAATTAAAAACTGAGGTTTTTCAACGTAAATATGAAATGTTATGTAATACTTTCTTCTTTGCTTGATAAGAATGGTATTACGTCTCATCCGCACGAAGGTGGATAATATATTTGCATAATATCATGTTGAAATTTGGTAGTGCTAACAATTGTGACCAAAGAAGGTTAATTAAGTTGGGAAGTTTACATTTTTCCGTAAATACATTAGTGTTCAAGAACCTCGTCAAGTCCAGGTATCGACTCCACCATGGTGCTCTCCTTTGCTTCCGGTGTTATTTGATGCTGCTGCAAATCGGTTTTGATGGCCATCATTAGTGTCGCCGTGTAGCCTTCCATAGGGTGAGTCGAATACAGATGTATTAGTGACGGGCCAAATGTCGGAAGGAATCCATCCTTACTCCCATTTGAGATCGATTTCAAGCTAATGTACTTGGTAAAATGATGAGCCTTCATTATGGCTATATGATCCTCATAGCATATGTCAACCTTTATTCTCTGACACAGTGGAGGAAATAAGTCAACTATGATGAGTCTTTCATTAAATTCTGGATTGGCTGTACCTCCTAGACTGGATGTTCTAACCTTCGAAATAAGGAAAAACAACAACATTTCGTGATGAAATTTCAGATAAGCAAAGGTTATTTTCAGTTTTATAGCTGTGTTACGAACTAATTTCGTTCAAGCTTCATACAAGTTTGAAACATAACGCCAAGAATCAATATGACATGATGAAGGATCACCGTTGTGCAAACATCTTGCAACTGTAACATCTGAAGGTTATCCTGTGGTTTACAAGTCGAAAATATAATCGACGCTTGTCTGATCAATAAAACCATATACCTCGAGCAATATTTTTTTGAGTTATAGCATTTGCATTTATTTCTGATGGATATTCCAAATTTAGGTGCAAGTGATATGGTTATATTGGTCAGACAACAAAAGTCGTGCTCAGAAAATTCTTGTTGTTTACATTAAATGAGATGTCAGTCATTTTAAAATGAATATCTGATATCAAACAGCTTTGTTCGAAATTTTCTTGAGTTATGGCATTTGCATTTATACCAGACCGTCTATTCCAGATTTAAGTGCGAGCAATCTTGAGGTTCGGTCATCTGTCTGCTACACGGCGCTTGGACGCAATTATGTACTATCTTAAGGTTTATTTACTACAAAAACACATAATAGCATTATTAGTAAACAATTACATAACCCATACATATTAAAATTACAATTAAGACAAGAAGTTAAGACGTTAATAAATATTAAAGGAAGTCATACGAAAATTGAAGAACTAAATTTCCCAGAAAGCGCATAATAATATTTTTATAAGGAACTTGGAATGTAATTGATCTGGGATAAGGTCACATTCTAGCACTGACTCCTATGAAGAAAAGTGTTGTTGATTTTAAGAAGAATTGAGAAAATCAATTTTGAATTTTGCTTGTGCGTTTCGTATAGGCTACTTTTGCTCCCTCTGGTGGGCTTACTACTTATGTCCCGGCCACGAAATGTAACTAATCCGGGATATGATGGACATATTGTAGCACTGACTTCCGTAAAAAAGCGGTGTTGATTTGAAGGAAAATTGATTTTGAAGTTTGCTTGTGTGTTTCGTATAGGTAACTTTTACTGCGCCTGGTAGGGTTACTTCCGGCCAGGGAATGTACTATAATTAATCCGGTTTATGAAGGACACATTCAAGCACCGACCTTAGAGAAAAAAGTGTTGATTTGAAGAAAAATTGTGGAAATCAATTTTGAATTTTGCATGTATGTCCGTTTCATACAACTTTCGCTCCCCCTGGCAGGCTTACTATGCCCGGCCACGGAATGTATTATTTGAACTTAATGTATTTTTGAAATAATGTCTACGTTTATACTGCTAAAAATGTGCAAAAGTGATAGTTCTGGAACCACAGAACCCTTCGTACAAAGTACATACCGAACCAGCAAATTAGTGCTAAAAGCTTTTGGTAAAAGAACCGCTCAGCTATAAAAGCTCTCTACTGTTGTTGCCTGAACACCAAAATGCTGGCTTAATGTTGTGTCGAATGCAAATTTGCTTTCCGCAACATATTTGCTCTAAAGTGAGGTGTTTAAAATATTCTTATAGCATAGTTATACAAAACCTTATAGGACAAATTTTTAACTGTTGCATAAACGTTTATATAACTATTTTATACGGCATATTTGCACTTTAGTCAAAATGGTTGTGTTGTGGCATCCATGTTTATAAAACAAACCCGAGCCTTGTTGTTTTGCTGTGCAAATTTTCTACTTTAGCCAACAGATTGCTCCCAACGGAAGTACTTATACAACTGTTGTTTAGTAACTGTTAAAGGCTGTACATATGCAACAATATTACAACTTTTGTACTACAAAATTGCTGTACTCGGCATACATTTGTTGCTAAATATGTTGGTATAAAACTTCACCATAACCTAACTGTCCTATTTTTGTTAAAATGCCATAACCAATGTTTTAAGACAAACAACGCATGCATATTGGTCCAAAAGGTTTTCTCAACTGTTCAAACAGAAGATATAGATCTGGTACAAATTCTGGGTAAATCATTCGACTGTCGGTATTTCATTTCAGACATTTGTCAAATTGTTGTAAAACACCTGCAGGCAACACCAAAATATTCTAATAAACTAAAGACAACATGGACGATGCCATGATTATACACAACCACCCGCCATATTGGGCAAACATTTATTCGTCTATTTAATATTAAATAATTATGTTTCAGTTCGAAATTACAAATATAAAGTGATAAACATTAGTGTAATTATGTCTAAATATAGGATTTGTGGAAGATTTAACGTATATAAGTTCAGTTTTCCATCTTAAAAACCTAGACATACTTTTGATGATTATTAAACTATGAATCAAATACGAAGCAGGTAGAAATTCCGAACTACCTTGCACGATAATCACAATAAAATTTGCAGGTAATTCAATAGCCCTTATCACAATGTGTTAGTTACATATTCTTCACTTCTTCTATACAATACATAAGAAATAGTTTGGTTGCAATAAAGTAGAATCGTGTAACAGAATAGTTGTATAGTTCACAAAAACTGAATCTTGCACTGACGCAAATGTCCTATACCGGCTGCAAGAGGCTTACACTTTTGTTGTATAACTGTTACTTGCAGCCCCTATACAACCTCTTAAATGACTCAAGTGTCCTAATAGGCGTGCCCATTCCGTTTGTATAGCTGCTCTAAGAGGGTTATGCCAATATTCTTACAGTGTAGAATGCTGTGTAAGGAGTTCTGTATAATCATTCTTGCAGCTCTATTAGGAGTGATAATTGTTAGTTGGGTAGTACAAAGCTGTATTCGGTGAGGGGAAAATTCAATTCCAAATGGCCGACCTGTGCATCCCAGCCAACTGACAAAGAAGAAGAACTATTTGAAGAAATACTAGAAATCTTGGTCATTGCAAATAACGGGGGTGAGCCAATATTTGTCAAAGGAATTCAAATGTCCTAAATCGATACCACTTTGCATAACGGTAACAGGATTTTTAAAATCAAAAACTGGAAACTACTTGACGATGAAAATATGAGCGATCATTTGTGTATTATATTTGAAATAACACCTGGCAAACATATTAGACCACAGACACAAGAGATCCGCGGGGGGAAAATAAGTAAGCATTCCCCGAAAATCTGAAGTTAGCTCTGTGCAACACAAAAGCGGTAAGTGATGGAAGCAAATTATTGGTAGAAGAATGAAATTATAAAAATGAGAATGACAACAGAGAACGAGGATGCAGCAAGGGATGATGGATAATTCATTCAGTTTCTGTGCCTAGGCAAATCCCGACCAATTATCTGCCTTTAGGTTAGTTAGTAAATAAATGGAATTAGGTGTCTCATTACAGTGTCAAAACAACACTATATAATATTCATAAGTGCCCTCAGATCGCATTGGGCTTCGCCCGCATAACTCACCCTGGCACGTATGCCCGGTGATCATGTTTGAAGATTTTGGTTCATAACACGTCAATACCGCGTCCGGATCATGTCGTAAAATTTTTGACATTGACAATTGTCATTTACACCCTTGGCAGCGTTGCTGCTTATTTTTTATGGGATAATCCATTGATAATTACACAGATTTGATGACTAAGAATCAATTTGTGAACGATAATAGACAGTCATGCAATGGAAAAAAACGCTAATGCAGAAATACGAGTATTTCAGATGTTATTCATCATTAAGTACAGTCAAGCAGGCAAGCCAAACCAAACGATAAAGCTTCACATCTCTAGTGATCTCGTCTGTGTTTAGAGTTGTGACATTTCTACCACAGAACATAAAATAAATAACAAAAATGGAACAAGGCCGGCTTCAGTTTCAACCCCCTGGAGACAAGTGACGTTTGCGCCATTCTTGATTGATATCAGCTGACATTTTGACTCTTAAAATTACAACTATAACCTCCTCTGTTCGGGAATCTCGGAGTGATCTGGATATATGTTGCCTTTAGTTTTTGTATCTTACTATTCAAGGCGTTTAAAACATGAGGATGAGGATAAGGCTGGTATGCTGATATCCAAACATCATCATTAAGGACCTAATGCCCAAGACAATCGCTTAGTATAACGAACGGACGTATGCTTTATATGGCATCAGTCTGTGGATAACGCTTGTTCCTGGCACTGATATACATGGTGTCCAAATAATGCGTCAAAGTTCAATATCTTCGTTACTATTAGAGTTAAAATTACAAAAAAGTTTTTTATACTATTTTTAGCTATGAGTGTCCCATAAATTAGAGGCAATATAAACTTGTATTTCTTTAAACGGGACACTCTGTATTTCTGTCGACTTTTAGAAGCTTCTTTGCTTGGCCATTCTGCCAATGTATGGTTTTGAGGATTTGTACTGTGTATTTCGGAATATATGGCCACTTTTTCATTAAAATCAATGTACCTTTGACTACCCGTATCTTAAACACACTTTAGATAAAACCTGTTTTGCTATACAAGTGATGGAAACAGTGGTAGACATTGACATCCAATGTTTCTTGCGGACATGTTTCATACGAGGTATACAGGGTGAGTCAAAATGGAAAGATGCAATTCTCTCGAAAAATTTAAATGCAACATCCTGTACATTATATTATTTACCCGTTCCTTATACAATTGCACCAAGAGCTAAGCGAAAACATTTAAATGATGTTCCTTATTCATTATGTATTTGAAGTTTCTTCAAGCAAAAAATGATGAATATTTTTGCACAACGCTTAGTAGGAAGATATTCCAGAGTACATAATATCTACAATATATTTGCATTTTCTACGCAACGCCATCATCAGTTCAAGAAGGACTAAGTTCAGCACATGTTAAGCCCTCTGAGAGAAAATTATTATCAATTTGTACAATAGAGTAATTAAATGAATCAAGTTAGTCAAATGGGCCTATATGATTAGTCCAGATACGTCTCCCTATCCTACCAGCAGTTACCGTCCATCAGAAAAAACAAGTATACCGTTACGCAGGGATAGCTCACTCAGACGCGTATCGAAAATGTTTGTCATGTGAAGACAAAAGTACGAGGAAGCCCATCATGTATGAAATATGGCTAATATGCGCATATAATTCCTGCAGTCACTTTTGCAGTGAGGCTCCAAGGGGTCTTGAGTATGCGTCAACAAGTCATGTTTGTATGTTGTAGATGGACTGTGAAATCGTGATGGAGTGATTCTGTTAACGGTAGATGCTTGTGATAAACTATTACCTAAGTTATGGCCTATGATGGTGGAAATAAATTAACCCTTCTTGTGATTGGCATCTGATGATGATTGCTGTGGAGCCCATCTTGATGATCTGTCTGTTGAGACTTGTGTACACCATTCGAGTTAGTTGAGTGTGTACCCAGTTCGGTTCCAGGCAGCGGTATGGGTCACGATGTGCAAAGGCCCATTACAAGCGTTTGCTTAATTCTGCCGTAGTGATGCAACACGTTTCGCAGTTGGTCTGTCTGAAAATTGCGACGGAGGTAGGCTAAAAGCGAAGAAATAAAAACCTCACTCCATTTTTTGACTTTTTAGAACAAAGTGTAGGGGTTAAAAATTGTGGTGGGGTTTGTAGGGGATGGGACAGGATATGTCCCATTTTTTTGGCAGTAGTATATTTATACGCTTCCAGCCTTGTTCTACGCACCTGTTAGTACATATATCTTAAATCATGGAATTCTCCGCACATTTGCGTTCAACACTTAGAGAAATATTTTCAACAGACGCGACGCGTGAGGGTCGCACTTGTGCGCCTCGAATTTATATGTATGTGCACAAAATCCTGTCCGCGCCTGCCGGCTGACCAGTCATCGGCGGTGGTGATGGCCAACATAGTATGATGAATTGATGCATACCAACATTTCACCATTGCACTAATAGTGCCAGATGGTCGAAACTTTCGGTAGGTCAAGCAAGAAATTTATTTGTAGATCGCCCCGTTATCAAATGGGTTGGGGCTATTGACTAATTGTATTGTTTGGCTCACTAGATGCATTTTCTCTTTGTTATACATGTTTTTAGCTAACTTTTTTCTCAGAGGAGCTAACTGGTGCCAAACGTAATCCTTTATGAACTGATGACAGCGTTGCTTGGGAGGTGCAGAGTAAGCCTTACCTGACTGAATTTTTTCCTGAGATTAGATGTCAGTGTCTCGTTGATAAGAATCAATTTTAAACATTGAGAATCGAATGCTCGCTGCAACATGGTGTCTGATTGAATTTCCGAATAGTCCAAAAAAGCATGTTACTCCATTTGAAACAGGCGTGATTAGTTCTCAATAAATGGGGTAACTGAAGAATTAAAGCTCGATTTTACTATTGACCGGCGGGACTCAAAATGTGGGCCTTTGGCACAAATTGGACCAATAAGGGCGTCCTTGAAGTAATGGATTTAATGACTTTGATCGAATTCTCGTAAAATATCTCTCAAGCCAAAAAGAGCTCGTTTTATTGAAAATAACAGTGTCTCACTGTTGTTATATGAAATTCTGCTTAATAAGTCTTCTGAAGGCATAAACGCTATCATAGAATGCTTATTTTTGAACAAATATCCAGTAAGTAGTCAGTTTACTTACTCACAAACTGTATATGGTATGCACGGGTGCCATCGTGGTCGTGTTGTCGACTTACCGTCCAGAAGAGTGCGCGTCATCTTCCTGTTAGCAGTGAATGAATTGATTACTTACGGGATGTTTGTTAAGCAGTCAGCAATCAGTTTTATTTGGGTATGTACTCAAAGAATTTATTAAGCAGAATTTTGTACAGCAACGGTAAGACACTGTTATTTTCAATAAGATGCAAATTGAATTGCTGTTATATCAATCCAGATATTGTATCAGATTTATGTCCGTGCTTGAAGTATGGCGCAAGTGCCTGTTTTTCATTTGTGCACTATCGCCACTAATGGAAAAAGAAGTTTTTTAGGCTCCCACGTTACACGGACCGTATATTGTTTCTTCTCTTTACAAGAAATCGATTACATCCATTACTTCAAAGATGCCTTCTCATTGGTTTCTGACCCACGTGCTTTTTGGGCTCAGGCTTATCAAAATTGTGCCTTAATTTACCAAATACGTTACCTTTGTGCATCGTATATATTTAAGAACATTATATGAATTATTGAACAGAAAAACATGGGGGATTATCGACATGTAAACCACATGATAAGTATCAGATGTTACATTCAGCAAATATGGTTCTCTACAATATCACATAGTTGTCCATCTCCCTAAAGCGGGTACTGAACGGAACCCATGTAGAGCGACCGTAAATATCAGCTTCAGTATTACATCACGGGAACTGTATTATCATAGTTGGTCTTACAGTTTGGCCTGCAAATGTTACTTCAACGTAGACGTTTGGGTGGCGCTTCTTTTCTTCGTCATTTGACGAAATGTGCACTGAAGGATGACCTACAAGGTGCATGCATTTGTATACGTCAAACATATATAATGCCTTTTGTCGCTCCATGAACATGCCGTCGGCTAGTAGTAAATTTCTGAAAAGAAGGATTTGAGAATGATGTAAACAGGGAGGCTTTTTCAGGCCTATACCAATGAAACACTTTATTGGAAGTAGCTATTTATCATTCAGAATGAGTAGTTGTTCTGAGGTCATGCTGGTCCATTTTTGTAAAATGTTCACCCACTTTTCACCGAATATGACGCATGTAACATCGTTGCACCTGATTAAGTGATCGTCAATAACCCACAATATGTGCTTCTCGGGTTCCGCATCGTAGTCACTGCTGAAGAGAAAGTTCTTTATAGGCTATCCCCTGTGACGGAAGTCTTGGCGCTCTTGACATTATTATATTAATAGAGGTATAGATTAGAGCTTGGAGACGGACATGAGGTACCCTTTTTTGTTGTTGAAATCAGGCTTCAAAGTGATGAGAAGCTACTACTATGGAGAAACTGCTATTTTCTAAATTCAGATCAAATATGGGTTTCAGTTGAATAGTAAGATACAGTGTAAATGAGGCACTTATAATGGAATTTTATAAATTCCACCCCTAGAAGGATTAAGTGACAATACCAGCTTTCATGTTTTTATAGAGAATTTAGAACATTTCAAATTAATCCAGCTTAAAAACAGGAGTATGTTTTGACGACAACTTTATCTTTAAAATTACATGATCAAACGAGCTTACCTGTAAGTGATGTTAGATCTTAATTATGTGAAGTCCTCGTCGAAGCAAATATTAAGAAAAGATATCGTAGTACCCTCGTAGTAGTACCCAACCGCCACGATTTCAAAGCGCGCACGCAGAGAAGAAAAGCGGCACCGTGCCACTTCCCCCTACCTTTCTCCCCTCTGGGCACCTGTAAACCTTCATTTACTTCAAAGCCAAGTTGTTGCAACAACTGGGTGTTATACAGGGAGTGAGGGAGCTGTTTACTTCGACGAGGACTTCACATAATTGAGATCGAACATCACTTACAGGTAAATTCGTTTGATCATGTAAGTATGTTCCGTCCTCATCGAAGTAAATATTTAGAATACATATCGTAGATGTTTAAAGCTAGTTGCAACAACATACTACTAACGCTCTGCAATAGCAAACGATAGGTTGTACGCAACTACACAAATTGTATGCAATATATGTGTCAACTAAACGTACTTTTCGATTGTAGCAGTTCAAGTTTGTAGCAGGGAAGTTAGCAACAGGTAATATGACGTACCTGGTTCAAAAATTACCATCCATTTCATGGTAATGAGCAAATAAGGTAATAACATAGTTAGGTGTGGAGACTTGGTTCACCTCAAATGCCGCTTGAGCAAAGCTATTGTTTGGCATAAGAGATTTGTAACGTATCTCAGAAAACGCACTCCAGCCCACCGCGAGCCTGAGACTACTATAGTTTAGCAGGCGGAGAGGTAGAGGCATTTCATGTATTGTGGGCTGACAATTGCGACACTCTCTGCTAAAACCGACTCATCTATCTGGGAGCAGAGGCACCATGATAAAGTTACTATACAATGACAAATAAATAGTTTGACTGCATAGATATTTCAAAAACTGAGAAATCCCAGTTTCAATATTATTCAACCCAATCCAGATGTTGTCTGTTTCAATTAGTTTGCACACTCTGACCAGAGTTTAGAGCTAACAGTGATGCTGATTTCCTCATTCAAATATCTACAGAGCTTACCAGCAACCTCTTTGGTTGATTGAGGACAATCACATTATCTATGTTTCAGTTGAGATGGCCTCAGCCTATAAATGCCCTTCAAAAACCATCTTATGTCTGCATCGTTAGTAACGGGTAAAAGACTGATAGCTGAAACAATTATATCTTGATCTCTTATCACCTGTAAGGTAAGAAATTTCAAGTTAGGAAACCAGACATGTATTTCTTCACGACAAAGGTCCTACCGGAATGTAAGCCCACAATTCATGATAGATTATTGATGCTGATTGGAATGACAGCTTTCCAGTGACGATAACCAGGGTAAGCTTCAGAATTACACGGAGCGGCGTCCTGGGTCCTCCACCAGGTGCTTGCTTTACTTCTAGAAGTGAAATTTCAGAAATACCGCATACTTGAACCAAAATCAAGACGATGACAGGTGTAGCTCCCACTCCGTTTCCACGTCCCACTGACGCAAAAGCTGATCTGTACTAGTTTACTTCTAGATTTTATATTTGACGCGAGGGCAGTAAGCTTTACACAATTGCCATAGTTTTCTCGCAACCTGGTCCAGACGTGGACACTAGAAGCTCTCCATTCTATTGATGTAGGATGGGGTATAATATGCGACAGCCCATCAATTCGGTAGCAAGGCATTCACCACAGAAGAAAGCTACCAGTGGTTCTTGATGATGAGCATGCAGGATCTACTTCTCGGATGACCAAAAACTATGAGACTTTTCCCTGGCCAACGAATGTTCCAGTCCGAGAAATTATACAACCAAAAATTGGACAACTCCGTACCTCTGACCGCATCTGGCAGTTTCCTTGAGCCCCAGCCGAGGTAGACCTTAAGTTATATTATCTTAGTGGCATAGTAGCGTTAAAATTCCCTTGAAAATTTTTGCGAGGCAAGAAATTTCACTCGGTAGTGTATAGTCGGCTGAAATGAAACAAAGCTGACACCAAGATCTCGATGTTCACCGCAAAGTTTCGGACTCTGTCTAGGCTGCTGTCCATTATTGCCCTTACTAGGTTTAGTAATATCTGAATCGTCCGTTCTAGTAAAGTTACTTTCTTTCTGTCACAATTTAATACTGAGCCTGAAAGTGCTAAATTTTTTCATAAAGTATTCCAGAAGTGGTTTTATTATCTTTGTGAACACATAAGGGGTATAATTTACCCTAAACAGTACAGCATTGTGTTGGAAGAGCTGTCCCTTGAATATGAATCTAAAATATATTCTATGACTCTCCCTAACGGGTACCAAAATACCTGCATATTCCAAATCCATATTCGTTAGGAAAGTATCTCTACGAAGAAGTCTGATCCCAGTTAATAGCCTAGACTTAAGTGTTATATCCCTATAATCAGACAAAGTGTCTTGAGGTAAGAAATGAAACGTGTTGACCCATCAGACTTGGGGGCAAGAAAAAGTTGGATAGGTGCTGAGTTTTAGTTAGCTCAACTTTTTTACTGATAGCACCGCAGCTATATAGTTCATAGATGGACTAATGAGATTCAGCTATGGCAAAGTGCTAAACCAGTCGCCATCTGAAAGGCAAGTGATCACTTGAGTCCAACTCAGGGCTTTGTCTGGCCTTTTGGCCTTCAGTTGCTGCCCTGTTTATCTGATTTCTAGTTAGAATTGACTTAATTGGTCAGACCTACACCGAAGAGCAAGATCACTGGAAGCCTCTGTCAGAGTACTCCTGAGTTCTTTGCTTTAATGTGAATATCTGCCAGCATGCACTCCTCTCCCTTCTTCGAATCTAGAGGATAGCGTATTGCCACTTGCAGTTAATGAACAGCTCACATGTTGCTGTACACAGTCAAAGCACTAAAGTCGCCGCATCGTCGTGGTGATGCGTCATCTACTGAGATAGACTACATGGCCTTTAAGTCAACAAAATCCAGAGCGCCCCGCTGTTCGAATGCCACCTATGCAAAATGTAACGTTAATCGGCCATAATGACATTTAACTTCCGTTATTACTGAACACTAGAGCTTTGGTGGTTTCCTAACCGAATATGTTCATACGTACAGTCCTGTTCCATAGTTATCACCAGCCATGTGGAATTTGCTATCACAAGCAAGATGTAACGCTAGTCTACCATAGATGCACCTAATTTCTATATGTTGTTAAAGAAAAATAGTATTTCAGCTGTCTCGTAACCTGTCATGTGCATATCATTGATCTGTTCGATGGCTATTCCAAACCATAAGGAATTTGCTATCACAAGCAAAATGTAACGCTAGTCTCGCCTAGATGTCTGTCGTTCATTAATGAAAAATGGTACTTCGGCTTCTTCCTAACTTGGCGGTTTACTAAACTGTCTTGTGCATTCTTATTATGCTGTTCCAGGGTTATCACAAACCAGATGGAATTTGGCGTCACAAGCAAAACGTAATGCTGACAAATATCTCTTAATAACTTCCTAGCCTGCCATGTTCAACCTACAGTCCTGTGCCATGGTTATCACAAACCAGATGAAATTTGCTATCAGAAGCAAATGAGAAAAGATTGTTGACCATACCTTGTGGCTACGTTGTCTCAAACGCTTTCAGTGTCATGTGCATATTATTGATCTGTTCGATGGCTATTCCAAATCATAAGGAATTTGCTATCACAAGCAAAATGTAACGCTAGTCTCGCATAGATGTAGCTAATCTTTGTCGTTCATTAATGAAAAATGGTACTTCGGCTCCTACCTAACTTCTCATGTGCATTGTTACAATATTGTTTCATAGTTATCACAAACCAGATGGAATTTGCTATCCCAAGCAAAATGTACCGCTCTAGTCTCACATAGAGCTACCCAATTTTTATCTGTTATAAATGAAAAATGCTATATTGCTACATTGCTATTACAAACTAGATTGGATTTGCTACCTCGAATAAAATGTAACGCTAGTTTTGCATTTATGAACCTAATCTCTATTTGTTATTAATGAAAAATGGTACTTCGGCAGTCTTCTAAACTGTCTTGTGCATTCTTATTATGGTGTTCCAGGGTTATCACAAACCAGATGGAATTTGCCATCACAATCAAAATGTAACGATAACCTTACATAACATACCTAATCTCTATCTGATAATAAGAAAAAAATATATCTTGACAACTTCCTAGCCTGCCATGTTCAATCTGACAGTCCGGTTCCATGGTTATCATAAACCAGATGAAATTTGCTATCACAAGCGAAAAGATTGTTCATCATACCTTCTTGCTACGTTGTCCCAAATGCTTTCAGTGTTGTTATTTGTGCAACGAAGTTCAGTATTGAGTCATTTTTCCAAACATCATCATTCGGCCTTGGTATGGACTATCACAAGGTAGGTCCATGTGCTATCCCAAGCAGCCGA